AATGCTTCGAATGTGGCATGCATGATTTTAAAATCGGAAATGATGCGATAAAAACCAAAAAATGAAAAAAAATCGATTTTCAACATCCTGTATGAGGAATATGAAAAATTCCAAAACCGTTTCGAGATATTGGCTTGAACGTTCAGAAAAAATGATTTGTAGAAAAATAAAAAAATTTCCTTGGAATACGGAAGCGTTTGAACTTTTTCATTTTTGTAATACTTTTTTCGAACACTTGGTGTATAATGGCAGAAAAACTTCGACGAGTTTTGAACAGTGAATCTTGAACAGAAAGACTGCATCTTCCGAACACTGCATTCCGATTGAAAATCCATTCATTTTTTGAAAAGTTATAGCAGTTTGAAAATTGTCAAAATTTCCAGTGGTCCACTTGTTTCTTTGAGCACTTTATATAATTCTGAAATCTGATCCACCCTATATTTGTTTCAATTAAATGGCATCAGTAGATAGTAAATAAAATGTTAGGATAGGGACACATGTAAGCCATTTTGACAAATCAATATAGGTATTTGTATAGTTTCGATACAAAAAAATCTCGATTTTTCACATTCTACGTATATATAGGTATACCTTGAGCTTGATCAACGAAATCATAGCTCAATTAGAAGAATCCAAAAATGTAATAAAATATAAGGTGTTCCATTTTGAATAACAAAGCTGCTACTAATAATAATGATTTCTAGTGAAGCAGATGAACATTATCGAAAATAATTTGAATAAAACGAGCGTCCTTGCCAACAAGACATAAGCATATAATATGTACATATAGTTTCATGATTTTCGATGAGTGGTTCGCTATTTACATGTAGGACTCGTCGTGACATAGCGAATTATTGCAAATCAAATCATCGCTTTCATTATCTGATAGGTCGCAGTAGATCACTCGATGCCTATCAAATGTTTCTTATTTATTCGAAAAAAAAAAGGTGGAATGTGATCAAGAAAACTGTTGGTGGCCCACCCCGTACTACAAAAAAACGGAGGCAGCATCATGGCTGCCTTCTTACGTCTCGGTCTCCCCACCGCTTAGGTAACGATCGGGCGTGTTCGGTGAACACACGGGTATGATCTCGAGACTCTAGTCTTATAGTATCACTTCTGATTATATCTCGTCCCATAGGAATTCCCCTGCATGAGTTGAGCATAAAATGTCAGAATTGAAAAAAATTGAGGGCTGCAAAACTGAATATTGAATACCTTTCATCATCGATGAATCAGTTGAGGTTCCAGGTTTCAGGAGAACATTGTCCAAAACCGTTATTTCATTTCTTTTAGCTAGAAATGAAAATATATGTCATAATAATGCAATTATGTTATGTATATTTCAGACTTTCTATATGGCAAGAAATAGGGGTCAGCATTTCTGATTATTGCACCACCCTATTTATTTCAGGATTGTATAATCAGATTTCCCTATAAAAAATTGAGAAGTTCAAACACAGTGACATGGAGATTGAGTAACTAATTCTGTGGAAATTCTTCAAATTCAGTTCCAGATCTGATCAGTCATATTCGTGAGTATGTACAGTAGTGTGCATAAACAAGTCGTACATGGTTTGTATAGTGCAAGCCTTCCTATGATGTTACAGGATTCATAAAAAAGTAGTACATATTATAGGAATTTTCTTTCGTGCGTCCCAAGAGATAAAATATATATGAATATATTTTGAATTTCGAAGCTACTTGTCAAAGTCGACAAGAAGATTAATCAAGATTGAAAAGCCTGACTCACAATAGCCTATGACTGCTGTAAGACTTGTTTATGCACACAATGCACATGGATGAGAGGACTTTTCAGATTCAGAAACTTCAGATTGCATCTCTATTTTGATTTGGAGTCGGTTAACTGGGAGCTAGTTGAGGATTTAGAAACTTATTCATGTGCCGTTGAAAATATGAAGAAAACTATACAGGGTGGCCCACGGTCGATGACCTTAGACGTTTACGGAGAACGGAACATAGGATTATTCTGAAAATTTTGTTTCTTGGATAATCAGTTCTGATCTATTGATCCAAAATATTATCAGTTCTGCGGCTTTGCCGCTTTAATCAAAAAGTAGCAACAATTTGATATGGAACAACCTGTTTTTTATTCCATTTCTAGATTCTCACTAAAGAGCTGATTTCATCGATATATCATACTTTAGGTTTAACGGAAACGGTTACAGAGATATAGGGTGTGAGAAATCAAGATTTTTCAAGCATTTCTTGAATTGAAAGTAATGATTACTAGTCAACACGTTCAACCTGACCCTATCTCAACTTTTGTTCCACTATCTACTGACATTTGATTGAAAAAAATACAGGGTGATGCAGAATTCAGAATTTTGATCTGCCTGTATCTGTCCCAATCGAATGTCAGTAGATAGGGAATCAAAAGTTTAGATAGGGACATGTAAGCCGTTTTGACCGATAATAAGTACTTTTGACACGAAAAATTCTATATATTATACATCTGTAATCATTTCCCATAAACCCCTCAGCGTGATATGTTGATGAAATAAGCTATTCAGTCAGAATCTAAAAATGGAATGAAATACAGGATGTTCCATTCGAAATAATGAAAGTTGTTGCTTCTTTCAGATAGAACCGGCAACGCCGCAGAGCTGCAAATATTTCAGATCAATAGAACATAACTGATTTTCCAAGATACCAAATTTTCAAAATGATCCAATGTCCCGTTCTCCGTAAACGTCTAAGGTACCATCAACCGTGGGCCACCCTGTATAGTTCCGTATTCAGGAAAACATAGTTCATCAATTGATGAGAAGAAGAAGCAATGGTAAGTAGTGTACCTACCTTCGCCTCAGCTCAAGATGGCCGCCGCCGGAAGTGACGTCACAACCGTTCCTGTGGTAGAAGGTGTTGGCTGCACGAAAGTGACGTCACAAGATGGCCGCCGCCGGAAGTGACAGATGACAGATGACAAGTGACAGATGACAAGTGACAGATGACAAGTGACAGGTGACAAGTGACAGATGACAAGTGACAGGTGACAAGTGACAGGTGACAGATGACAAGTGGCAGGTGACAGATGGCAAGTGACAGGTGGCATGGAACACAAAGAGTGACAGGTGACCGACAAGTGACATGACAAGTGACAGATGACATGGAACACAAGGGATGACACGTGCAAGTACTCTGAACACTAATGCTTATGGGCGTGTCCTCTTCTTCTTATTTTTGAAAGGTGGTGGATGACGTCACAATCTAGTGACTTTGCCCACCAGATTTAGGTTGGTATTACTACAATTGGTAGCACTTTGTTTCAAGGTCACCCGATATGCATGTTGCAGGTGGTCGATGAGTCATCCTTATCTCGACTTCATAGAACAATGCCTCCTTTGTTTGCCATATGTTATCTAGCCTTCCTCTAGAACAATGCCGCCTTTGTTTTCTCTATGCCACAGCGTTTCTTGGAATTCCGGCTATTGGGAAATTGCGACGCAATATTATACGAGAACAATGCCGCCTTTGTTTGCAGGTGTCCGATTACGTAACAACCTCATCCGATTGCATCATCCTTATCTGTGTGAAAACAATGGGTCCATTGTTCTGACGCAGGTGGCCGATGAGTCATCCAACAGACATGTTCAAACTTGTCTCGAGCCATTCAATCATGGATACTGGATGTGTCTCAAAGAACGTTTGCCGAATCTGCCCAATAGCTTATATCAGCTGTGCGCATGCGTAGCTACCACTACCACTATTCAGACTTGACCTCTGAATCAGTGTTACAATGTCCTTAGAAGAGTACAGAAGCAAGTTGGAGGAATTTGGGGAACGGGTTCGACAGATGAACAAAGACATAACATTGTACGAAGATAAAACCAAAGTGTTGAATCAATTGGAGAATCTGAGTTTGTGGGATAAAGTCTTCAGCAGCTGTGGAAGAGTACCAGCAGTAGAGGTGCCTGTTGAGCAGAGACGACACATCCAGCCTCAAAATGTCACGGGTGGCATTCATAGTTCTGACAGCAATTTTGAATAACGTATTGTATACAAAATTTCCCAAGGATGTCAAGAACATGGCGATATGTTTCAATGACTCGAAAGAAGATTGCAATCGATCATCGTGGACAGCGATGCGAAATAAGTTGGTGAACAATGGATGTCTACCAGTATTCTACAAAGAGATACCAGAGACGAATAATTCCTTCTTCAAACTCAAGTTGATGTTTTCCGGTGGATCTGAAGAGGATACCGACTGGCAAACTATAGGAGCCCCCACAACAGGAATACAGAATGAATTTAATAAAATGTTCATATTACTAGGTTTGACATTAGCAGCTACGTTCGTTTTGATTGTGAAAGGCCTAATTAAAGCTGGGTACATATATCGTGAATAAAATGATGGAACTTATGCAAGGTGTTTCAATAAAACTCCCATCCTTATCATAATGTTTATTGAGCCAAACACAGTACATCTTCATTTAGGTAATATTACATTTATAAACCACTGGTAAAGTTGATCAACGTTCCGCTGGGCACACATATATTTTCCATTGGCGTGGTTGGGGCAGTACGATATAGTTTGCTGGTAGGTTTTACTGGAACAGGGTATTCCATCATACAAAGCAACATCGTATACAGTTGGGAATACTTCAAGTTCTTCACATTTCGTCTTCAAAAAGTCAGTTTTCTGATTGCCCCTCACGTACATACATTCAACCGAATGCAACAGATATTTTTCCAAAATGTCGTTCAGCTCCGTATATTCAACATCACCAGCATCATATGGTATTTCATGGACGAATTTCTCCACATAACGTGTAGTTTTCTTGTCACGTCCACAAATGGTAGCAAACGGTGTAGGCGGTTTGAATAGGAAGTTGGATCTCTGGCGGCCAATTTGAATGGTCAGCTCTTTCGGGTGGAAAACACTGTCAAGAGTGAAGCCTTGAATGTCGACAAGTGCGATCCTCATGACGGCTGACGATCGAATGCGAGCTCGAGCAGTTTGCAGCTGGTATTTATACTCAAATCAAGGTTCTGACGACTTCCGTTAGAGGGAAGTACTCTAGCAGACCGTCATGTACGATGATGCAATAGGCTTTGGTGTCAGCAGGGAATCCTTTATCGGCTTCGATTTCAAGCTTTATATCAACTGTCGATGATTTCATGGTCTCTTCCTGCCTCGAGCAATCAATCACAAATAATGCATGCTGTTTGAATTCCCCATAATCCAAGATTGGGTGAACCTCCGTCGAATGTGAATAGCTCGAATAGAACCTGGTATAGTTGTAGTAAGCAAGGGTGTAGTCTTGTTTAGCGAAATCCAGCTGCATTCTCTCATTAGGCCAATATTCACCATTGAGGGCTAATCTGATACTAACTATGCTCGTGTTATCAAAGTGGGTAGCATCAGCTTCTGCATTGTCACGTTTAGATTTCTGGAAGCACACAATAACGTACCGAGGACGTTCCACCGAAGCGCTCGTTTTGACTGCCCAAATTTCACTTTTTGCGCCTTTTGGTAAGAGCAGGCAATTGGTTGAGGTCCCATTTCCTGAATGGAATCAGTATAGGTGTATCATTTTTGATGGGTTGCATCAGTTGTAGTTTGATTTCATCGTTCGGAAATACGTGCTTCACTTTTAGCACTACACTATGTATTTGTACTTCAACTGTAGTAGTAGTGGTTGTAGGTCCATTGGGGAGTTCCTGTACTATCACGCAATCGTTATCATTACGAGCTCGAATCAGTCGGATTGTTTGTTTTCCATAGGTGATTGAGGTGTAGTCATTGAAAACGTTGAACAGGTGCTTTAGTGGTATCAACAAACTAAATGTCTTGTCAATTGCATTCAAAAGCGGTTTATCAGGATACGTCCATCCGGCTGTGGATAAGTGTTTGGAATCATCAGGTTTATAGCACATGAATCCTCGCACACTACTCACGATCCCTGGATCTCTGACTACTTCTATCTCTCTTGCACTCTGCACATAACTGCAAGAATCGAATAGAAATGCTCCACAGTTGGGGACCAAGTACACATTTCCAGCTCCTTGCACATTCAACGTTCCTTTGATTTCCAGCAAAGACTCATGCATTGCAAAAAATGTGTCTGCTTGATTTATGTTGATTTCCACCATATCATTGTTATTGAAGGATTTGACGTATGGGATGTAGGAGCGATATTCTTCTTTTCGAATAGTTTCATCATATCTGGGCCGACGATACAGATCGAAAATTGGGTTTGTGTGGTTGAATGTTGGTGCTGTTGATTCTTCCGAACGAATATACTTGCGCTTGTTCATTTTTCACTCGTAATCCGATTGCTAGCAGAAAGAGAACGTTTTCTGGAGTGAGCTCCTGTCTCTTCGGAGGTCCCGTTGATACTGAGGAGTTTGTGGTTAATCTTTCATTATCAACTACTAGACCCATTCAACGTTCTTGCAAGTCCAAGTGTAGGGTGCCCTTTTCTCCTCGGAAATTAACAGGTCTTAGGTCCTGATCCAGCACTGTAACGGTAATGTTAGTGATGTCTCTCAGGCTACTTCTCACAGGTAAATAGAGAGGGGTATTTGGACGTTCGTTGATAGCGTAACCAGGATCTACGGTGATGGGGAAGCTTAATATAGTGTGAGCAGGCCTGTCTGCATAAAACGACCCTTCAGTGATGTTGCAATCGAAATGTAGGCTTGATACTTTCAGAATGTTCACAGGACGATCTGAACAGTGAATTCGGCCAGGTTCCAAGATCCTCTTCGAAAATCCCAACAACTCACCAAAGCTGTTATCTTCCTCAAAACTGATGGTATGTTGTCGACTATAGATTTCACACTTCAAAGTATTGTTGTTGGGCTTCAAAGTGAAATCTGCATCAGCTTCTTGAATTTGTCTCCGAATGTAATCCTCAATATTTTCTATCTCATAACAGCCGGTCGGAAACTGAATCTCCTTCAGCACTTCACGATTATCGTTCTCGTAGTAGTAGAACTTTTCACCATCAATATTCGGTATGGAATGATAGCTGTGAAATCCTAGTACAGCTATGTAATAGCTTTTCAGAGGGTGCAGTAGTATCGGTGAGGAGGGTGTGAAAGAGAACTGGTTGGTGGTACTCGTCAAGGTCAACAGTAGAGACATGACGTACCTAATGACACACAGCTATAATTATGAATATTTATTCCAAGACAACTCTACACTTCAAGAAATAATTACAACCATGACATTCAAACTGTGAGCTGACCGGTCCATCAACGTGGGTTCGAGCATCAGGTCTATTATAGTGGATGTAACAAGGCAAAAGAATTCTCAGATCAAAGTTCTTCCTATAGTCCTGTGGTAATTTATGCCAAACATCCAAGAGTTCCCAAGGTCTAACATGTTGGATCAGATAGTTGATGGGGAAGAGTGCCAACTCTTTTGCGGAAAAGTCTTGCAACGCCTTCTCACGGTGGAGATATGCTAAAACGGCTTCCATTGTACAGGAACTCCAGACAGAGATGACCACAGTTGATTTGGTTATATTTCTGGAATGGATCGTTATTGTAATAGAGTTTGACTTTGCCCAGATATTGGACAAGTTCTCTGACCTCACACGTTCCCAGGCAGCGTTCTCCAACACCGAATCCGCTTTATGACGTTCTTCCAAAGACGTGTTCTGTGAATATGCAATGTCGTGTTGTTTGCAGGCAACGTCTAAGGGATTGATGCCAGGATCACCACGTGCAAGCCGTTTCTGAAGTTTTGTTCCAGCTGTAACGTAAAATCAGTTATTCAATCTCTAACCTCACTTTTGTACTTACGTCCACAGTATTGATAGCCACCAGGTAGGTGTACCTCGAATGGTAATTTGTTTATAAGAAAATTCAAAACACCGTCTCCCTTGTACACAATCATTGGAGTCTTTGCACCTCTATCACGAGATGAAAGTCATTCAACAAGACCAGACGCTACCTATCGAAAATTTGGACCTTCACACGTCACCAAGGACACCGAATAAACATGGAAAATTATTACCCAACTCGTTTCGAGCAATCATGTGTGGACCGAGTGGTTGTGGCAAGACAAACGCCATGCTATCGTTACTCTTCAATCGAAATGGCGCGAGATTCAAAAATGTCTACGTGTACTCCAAGTCGTTGTATCAACCGGAATATCAGCTACTTCAAGAGGTGTTGGATGCAGTGAAGGAGGTGGGCTATTTTCCGTACAGAGACAACAATGAAATAATAAGCCCATCTGAGGCGAAACCCAACTCGATTTTCATATTTGACGATGTGGCGTGTGATGAGCAACAAAAAATTCGAGAATATTTTTCAATGTGTAGACACAAAGATATCGATGCTGCCTACCTTTGCCAAACTTACTCTAAAATTCCTAAGCAATTATTGAGAGACAATTGTAACATGGTGGTGCTGTTCAAACAGGACGAGATCAACTTGAAGCATGTGTTTGATGAACATGTCTCTCCAGACATGAGCTTTGACGTCTTTAAAAAATTGTGCTCCGAATGTTGGAGTGTCACATATGGTACTCTAGTGATTGTCAAGGATTTTGATTTGCATAACGGCAGATATCGCCAAGGTTTCGACAAATATATAAAAGTGTAGACACGTCATTCGACATCATGAGGTCGTCAAGTCAAGTCATGCGCAGAAGAAGAATGCCATCCAAACGTGATGACGATCAGGCTGCAGCACGTAAACGGAAAATTGCAGAGCTCACGCGTACAATCAGAAAAAAGTACTTGGCCTTGAAACTGGGTAAATCTGAGGAGGACGAATCGCTAAACAAAATGTTCAAGCCCATATCCAAACCATTGGAAGAAATTGTGAAAACGTCAAAGGCCAATCGTGATTTACTGGCAAGAGCCCAGTTTAGCACCAGTATGAAGAAAGAAGAGCCACCTGAACTGAAAAAAGAAGAAGAACAGGCTCAGCAAACGCAGTTTATTCCAATGGAAGAGGTGGGTGGAACCGGAAGTATTGTGGATGATGATGATCAATACGAATATGATGATGATATCCTGTTGAACGAAAATATCACTCCAGAACAAAGTATCCCGTATGATGTAATCGATGAATACCTAGACCAATACCCAGTCATGGTGCATCCATATCTCAGAGAACATTGGGATTACAGCGACAAAATAGATCAGATGTATGGTCCAACTTACGATCCTCAAACGTCGAAATGGTTTCTGGGGACGCAGGAAATTGACTTTGATAAAAGAACTGGATTCATAAAGATTGGTGGTAAACAAGTACGAGGAACTCCAGGGGTGTATCAGCTCATTTTCTATGATGATCCTTCAGATTATAACGATGAAGATATGCAGGCTTACAAGGAAATTTTGAAGCTGAGTGATCGCTATATAAACAAGGATGGAAAATTGAAAGGGTCTAAGAGATGGAAGTATACGAACGTCATCAAGCCACTTATTGTACAGATACGAAAAAACAGCGGTAGGCGTTCAACGATTGGTAGTGGTTTGACGTACAACGAAAACCCCGTGGAATATATCTATTGGGACGATCCGAATGAACTCGTAGACCGCTTGAAACTACTCATTGCTTCTAAGGAAGCTGGAAACACATCACTCGATAATGAAATAGTGGCAATCGTTGATGAACTTCGTGAAGCTAACCTTATATACTGAGAGTCGTCAATCATGAGTCTTGACAAGTTCGGCCGCAGATCAGCTGGCAGCAGCGGTAACATCATCGAATTAGTCCAATTGAAACATAAACTCGTCTCATTGGATACCATCATCAGGCAGTCGACTGATACATTGAGAATGATTGATAGCAAAATAAAGGATATTGAAAAGTTTATTTCAAGACATCCTCCAACGGAACATATGGCTACGAAAAATCATTTAGATGGTGTTATTTCACGAATGAGATCTGATTTCAAGCTGGCTGAGAGAGCTGTTGACAGAGAGGAGATATTGAATGAAGAATCGATGGAACAGACACAATTGACCACCAATGAGATGAAAAAATTGACATAAAAATAGTTGATATACCGTTATGGCTTCGAGAGACAAGATTCAACTTGTTAATGAGCTGCATGCTCCAGCTCGCAAAAATTACCCCAGACGACGAACCATAATCAAAGGATTGGACAATTTATGGCAAATGGATTTGGCTGAGATGAGACCGTATGCCCATCAGAATAAAGGATATAAAATGATTCTGGTAGTGATTGACTGCTTTTCCAAGTACCTCTGGACACGCCCACTAAAAACTAAGACAGGAGAAGAGGTTGCCAAATCTTTCGCCGATATATTGGTACATGCAAAGCGCATACCAGTAAATCTACAGTCTGATCAAGGAACGGAATTCTTCAACAGCAAGTTTAAAAAATTGATGAAAAAATATGACATCAACCATTACAACACATTCAGCATTAAAAAGGCTGCCATTGCTGAACGAGTAATAAGAACGCTGAAAAACAAACTATACAAATATTTCAGTCTGAATGGCACCTACAAATGGATTGATATATTACGTCAGATCGTTGATGAATACAATCATACCAAGCACACAACGACT